CAGGATAGCGAGAACCATTCCTATAAGAAGTTTAACATTTTGCCCATTAATTTACAGCTTTTTTCCCCCTGGTTCTGACCATCTGCATGCCAAGCAAAAAGAAAAGAAAAAAAAGAAAGTGATGAACTCACCTTGCCAGAATGACAGAAAGATGACCGATTTTATCGTGAGAAATTTCAGCACTGGTTCATACGGTCTGAGGAGGTCACTTGTGGCGAAGAAGAAAAGGAAGAGCGCATAGAGAGCCAGGCTTACTGAGAAATTGTAGATGATGGTGATGTACAGGTAGCCTCCATTAACACTGCATTGGGAAGAAGTCAGACAGCACCAAACTTTAAACATTTGTTTAGACGTTATAAATATATCAGATAAGCATGTAATTGTTTCTTTTTGTACTTCAGTAGAGCCTGTCTGAAGATTCAGCTGTGACAGTGCTTAATGCTCCAATGCGAAGAGAGAGTAGCGCTGGCTGAGTGAGGAAACAAAGAGTGAATCATCATGGGTTTGCAGCAATCCTATTCATCCATATATTACATCTTCTTATATCAAGAAGATGCAACATATTAGGATGAATATGATGGATTGAATTAAGCACATCTTTAGGTATGATAAAGAGATCGCAAAGTAGAACGCAGACTGGAAACTTATCAATCAAGCACTCATTGAGTTCTGCTTCTTTTATGTCATTTTTAAACAAGTGTCACAGCTGACTCTTCAGACACTCTGAGCTGAAAGGGATCAGAAAATAATAAAGAAAACAATTTAGACAAGGCTATACTAAATATATATGAACTATAATCCTTATTCTGTTAATAGCTTAAATTTTATTTGAAGCGTTGAAACAAAGTATATATTATATGCTTATCTTTTATATGAAATTATATCCAAGTGAAAGTAGAAAATGAAACAATCCTTCTTATTTCAAAGTACACCATGTAATTACTTCCTTGAGTCTAAAGCATCATCCGCAGTAAAAATACAAAGTTTAGGAATAGCACACAGCTGCAAAGTTTGATCCCATAACTTTGGGACAGATTCAGACATTTTTATCATGCTCCCTGCAGAGAGGTTATATGCCTATTTCCATTTCCAAATTGTTTTCATGTTCACAGAAGCAGCAAACAAACCCTCTGGAATCTACATTCATCAGAAGAACACAAACAAAAAATTTTAATGGAAAAAGAGGCTCTGCTCACCTAAAATCTCCGTCGTGATATTTGCCGAAGGCCTGCAGGATGATGGTGATGGTTGCCATGATGGGTTTAACAACACAGAACTGGAGAGTCGCCTGGAGGACACATGACAGTTTAGAGTGGCACTCCAAGAGACAGCAAGCAAGGGCACAACCAACAAGGGCGGAGATTTTAGAATTGGTTTGCACATCAAAGAGACTGGGAAAGGTTCAGGACTGCTCAATGACATCAAGCCTTTCCTAAATATCACCAAACAATGCATGCTTCATATTTTGCATGCATAGAAAACAATATAGCTGGTTAGAATCTGAAAACTCTTATTTGTACCTTAAAATATCCTCTCCCAACAACTCCATTTGGTCCTGTCACAATAAAACGTTTATTTTTACAACAGTCTATGCTTTTTAAAAGTTATTCATCTGAACTTTTTAGATGCATCTATATCAGCTTTGAGGACCTTAAACCTAATTGGACAATTTGTACTCCCAGTCAGATCAGACAAAGACAATCTCTAAATAATCATTTGTCTAAGCTTGAACATCTTCACAGCTAAATTTGCCTACGTTTCTTAAATGAATTCAGGTCTGGGCTTTGACTAAGCTCGTCTAACCAACTTATTTTAATCTAAACCAACTCTAACCTTTTAAGGTCAGTAAAAGGTTCCAATTAGTCTTAAGTCTTTTGCAGCCTAGAACTATTTTTCCCCTTGAGGATTGCCCAAGTTTTAGCCCCATCAGTCTTAAACTTTAATTATCACCTGCCCCTGAGGATCAACAATATTTCCATGGCACTACCAAGTCAAAGTGGGGGTGGTGTATGTTCACCACGTAGCACAGAATTAGCTATACTAACAAACTGCTGCTTTCTATCAGACAAAAAGCTAAATTTCTGTCTCACCAGAGCACCCCAAGAACCTGTATGCTATGCCCCCTAAAAGGCAAATGGGACTTCTTGGGACTCTTAAAAACAAATACATAAACAAACGGTTTACTCTGAGAGCTTTTCCAAAAAGATTGGATTTGTGGAGAGAATTGCTCAGAGATCAGGCTCTCCTCAGCTGCTCTATAGTTAACAAAGGCCTCTTGAATACTTCTTTGGTAAACCCTCAAGTTTTCTGTTTTGGTAGGTTTCTAGTCTTGCTATATTGTCATTGTTTATATAGTGGATATATAAGTTGAGATTTCAATCATTAGGAAGCACATTTTAAAACTCAGTCTCAACTTTCATCTAAGTTTAAATGATTTCAGATCAAACAGCTGCTATATAAAGAGATTATTATTGATGTCATATTGAAACAAAATTGTTCAGTTTACTCAGATTAAAAACAAAATTAAAAAATGTGTAAAGATGTTCTTACGTATATATGTCTGTTTTTATATTGTATATTATATTTATAATGTTTTCTGCAAAATAATAGTTTCTCAGGTATTCTAATGTTGATTTAGGAGAAAGAAAAAAAAAATAGCCTGAACACAGAAAAATGTAAGCCACGCATCAAAGATGTCCTTGGTGGCAGGAAAGGTACCCTGCTGTTGTCTACAGAATCTAAAAGAGTAACAGACCAGCAGTGTTCGGTTTGACTACTCAGATGGAAGCTTCCCTGTGCTTCACAAACTAGCATCAGCAAATACTCATACTGGAGAAAATGGTGTGCCTTAAAGTTTTTTTTAGAACTGATGGGCATTATTTACTCTAAACATGTAGTGTGAATACGTCACTCTGAAAATTCATAAAGCAAAGAATTACATGTAAAATTTGATGTGTGCAAACACAAATCATGTTGCAAAAAGTTGGTGTTACCATTTTTTTTTGCATATTTTGCGTTTATTTTCCTAAACTTTACATCAAAGTTACTAATATATAAACCAATATCAATTATGGATGTCCAATGGATAATGTTTGAGTCCATTAGAACTTTTACATCTGTATCATTTTATATGTAAAGCAGGTAAATTTAGGTTACTTTCGATCAAGGTTATTGCCCCAAGAAATTTCTATTACAATTATACAACATAACATTTGTTTGAAATTCTGTTCTGTTACCAATTGGTGGATAATGTGACCTAAAAATCTGCTCAGACAATCAGAATTTTATAACTTCAATTATTTCTTCATTTGGTTTTGTGCAACAACTGTGGTCTGCAGAATTCCATGCTCTGCCCAATAAAATTAAATTGTTCTCTTCTCAAAAATCCAATAATTACACTTTCTCAGTAAAAAGTAATTAACCATGTAAGAGCAGCCTGTCCACGCCCTCATCAGAAACCACAGCAACTCCAAGCTGCTTTTCTGCAGCTGATTTGGTAAACTGGCCTCTATGGACACTAAAATATTCTCTAAATATGCAGAGACTGCTCCACTTAATCACCCCTCGTCTTTCAGAAACAGAGAGGAGGGCCCATTAAATGTTAGAAACATCATTACCATTTTGTAAACTCAAACACTTTTAATAAAACAAAGAATAAGTGTATAGAAAAACCAGTTAAGATAAAAGCCACTCACAATAAATCTGAAAATAATTTAATAATTTGATCTAATTTAATTACTCAATCCATATCTGTCAGGTTGTCAAGCCTTTTGCCTCTTACTGCTATCTGATTAGTGGGGGAGTGTTGGCCTAGTGGTTAGGACATAGAGCTTGGAATCCTGAGGTCCTGAGTTTGAGCCCCACTCCTACAGACTGCCACTCTGGGTCCCTGAGCAAAGACCCTTAACCGCACACTGCTCCCCAGATGCTGCGCAATGGCAGCCAATTGGCAGCCCACTGCAGTGTAATGACAATAAAAGCTAGAAGACGACGATAAGTGGATGGAATGGCCCGGCTGGGTCCCGACCACCAGGCACTCACAAACAAACCCTAACCCCGATGTCCCAGCTCTGACGCACTGATATAAAGACCTCTGGACAATAATGATTGCCTCTGAAGAAAATCTGCAACCCCTCAATGCTATATGCATCAGAGTTTTATCGAAATATTAGAAAACAGAGTTTAGAAAAACAGAAATGTAAACCTTTCAAAAATTCCTCTATCAATGCAGGTAGGCATGGAAAATTTACATCATCATGAAGCCTATAAGCAGACAAACAGGAGCTTTTAAACTCCCAGGTAGACAGCTGCACTAACTTCAAACTAGATAAAACACAGCAGATGAACATTTGCAACCTCAAGTGACTTACATCCTGTGACTCGTCATTCCTAGCTACAGACTTTGGGACCTTGATTTAAATTGAAATGCAAGCTTTAATTTAATCACAAAAGCCATTTTCTTATTCTCAAATACCAGATTTACAGTTCAAGAACTCCAGGAATCCAACAGTTGGATACCATCTATTAGATATGTCTTTTTTGGTTTCTTGTAAACAATCACCTCTGGATATGGGCAATGTGAATCTCCACCAAAATCTTTAAAGGGTGTTGCTGTATTTATTTCTGTTGCCTAGGAATGTTTTCCTGCTGCTATTTTTCCTTTCACTCAACTTTTTCAGTACTCTGATTTAATACAGCTTTCCCTACTGTGGAAGGTGCCAAAGACTGTCAACTTAGTTGTCCAACCCATGATTATCCATCCAGAACAGTTTTTGTGTCAAAGTTTTTTTTTCTTTTAATTGGTCCTGAGTAAGATTTCAGTTTTCAGGTTATCCATTTCAACCTTTTCACTAGATGTAAACCATGGCCATCAAAATGACAAAAAATAAATTATTGGGATACAGCAAGCAGTGTAAATCACTCAGTAAGGTACAGGTTTCACTTTTAATGAAATGAAATTAACTTGGGTGATGTTATAATTAATTCAGGGGCACCTGTAATGTGCAAGCCAAAATTATTATTCTGAATCCCTTCAACAGTCCTTTTACATTGATCCCGACGGGCAAATCAGCTTTTATTAATAACAATTTGATGAATTCATTATTTTAGAAGAGCTGTGAGAAATAGGATTTTCTAAAAGCAAAATAATGTTCTTCAAACTGCAACAGCAAAACATTTGATGACAAACTTTACAGAAATAAGGAGTAAATGGACTAATATGTGATAACATTAAATAAGCATTTAGTTTTACTTTTTGTGAAATATCATTTACCACTCTCAGTTATGCCTCTAGAGAGAATTTGTAAGCTTTTCAATTAAAAGGCTGTGTACCTAACACTGTCAAAGCAAACCCTTTATCATCTGCCTATGGGGAAAACAAAACCAAACAAAAAAATAACACCCCTTTTCACCCTGCATTTTGTTCTGAAGACATCTTTCAGATCCAATATCCATCAGCGTTACAGAGGAAGCCTGTGCTGCATCCCAAGACGCAGTTGGAGCATTGCACCGACAGGTCGCATCATTTCTCTGTGCACATCATCACTGTGATTTCACCCTTCCTCACCTGCTTTTGTTTCGTTTTCCTTTTTTTTTTTAAACCCACAGAACATCCAATTATACCAACTGTCAATTGTAAGCAGTTTAGAGGCACCAAATTAACAGCTTAGGCTTTTTTTAATATGTTAATGCAAACTGTATGCTTTTTTTTTTTCAGTGCAAACAGTTTTATTGGAGGGGAGGGAGGACAGAAGCTTACCTGTTTGCAGAATCTTAAAAAGCCGATGGAGTAGCTCATTCCAACCAGACAACACGTCCCATACAAACAACTTGACCTGTGTAGACGGCACAAAATATTGATTTATTTTGCAACGCCAGATTAGAAACCCACTCATCAGAGAGCAGCTAAAACACAGTAAAATGTCACAAACACTTTAATAGAAAATGTAGGACAGACTATTCATATAGTGACAATCAGCCAAAGCAAAATGTGTACAATAGTCTGAAAAAAATCTTGTCTCAGTTGCTGTTCTATGCCTCTAATCAGCTTTATGAGCCAGCCTTTATGTCACTAGAGTGCACTTGGATTATTTTTTGATTAAATGTTGGTTCGCTGTAATGAGGGGGAAATAACGGCTGAAATGATTCTGCTGAAAAAGGGGATTGAGGGCCCTGGTGTTTGTCTCTGGGATTTATGCAACATGTCTTGAAGCGCTGCATTGTCGAGTGGGATGTCTGCAATTTGCTTGCTTCATGCAGGTGCCATTAAAAAGCATCAGATAATTAAGAAGAAACATCTCAGCTACATTAAGTTTTTAAATAAAATCAGCACTGGATATCATTGCTGTTAGATCTGATTGGTAAATCACTCAAGTATTTGGCATTTGTTTGGAAAAAACCTGTAAGTAGTATCATTATTATGAATATTTTTATAAGCTGTAATAATTTTAAAGACTGGAAAAGAAACCGCACACAAGATAGACACAAAGCGGTGACAAATCAATCAAAAAGACATAATTTTAAGGAAAAAAAGGACTAAAAAGTAGTACTGAAACATATTCATTGATTACTGTGATCAAATAATGTCATTTAAATATAGACTTCAAAACATGCAGTTTGCTGAAGAAAACCCAAACAATAACCTACTCAGAGCAAAAATTAAGTTGTTCTGTGTAGGGGTCTGAAATTTTCATCATAGGTGCATGTCCACTGTGAGACATAATCTAAAAAAATAAAAATAAAATAAAATCCAGAAATCACAATATGACTTTTCTAAATATTTATTTGTATGATACAGCTGCAAATAAGTATTTGAACATCTGTCTAACAGCTAGAATTCTGACCCTCAAAGATCTGTTAGTCTGCCTCCAAAATGTTCACCTCCACTCCATTTATTATCCTAAATTAGATGCACCTGTGTGAGATTGTTAGCTGCATAAAGACACCTGTTCACCCCATACAATCAGTAAGAATCTAACTACTAACATAGCCAAGAGCTGTCCAAAGATACTAGAGACAAAATTGTACATCTTCACAAGGCTGGAAATGGTTATGGGGAAATTGTCAAGCGGCTTGGTGAAAAAAGGTCCACTGTTGGAGCAATCACTTGAAAAGGGAAGAGGCTAAATATGACTGTCAATCTCCCTCAGACTACTGCTCCGTGCAAGATCTAACCTTGTGGGGTCTCAATGATCCTAAGAAAGGTGAGAAATCAGCCGAGAACTACAAAGGAGGTGCTGGTTAATGACTTGGAAAAATGCTGTGACCACTGTTTCCAAGGTTACTGTTAGTGATACACTAACACGTCATGGTTGGAAGTCATGCATGACATTGAAGGCTCCCCTGCTTAAACCAGCACATGTCAAGGCCCGTCTTAAGTATGCCAATGACCATTTGGATGATCCAGAGGAAATGGGAGAAACTCATGTTGTCAGATGAGACCAAAATGGAACTAACACTAATCGTGTTTGGAGGAAAAAGAATGATGAGCACCATCCCAAGAACACCATCCCTACTGTGAAGCAAGGGGTCGGTGGCATCATGCTTTGGGGGTGTTTTTCTGCACATGGGACAGGGTGCCTGCACTGTATTAAGGAGAGGATGACAGGGCCCCCCCATGTGTTGCGAGATATCGGAGAACGACTTCCTTCCCTCATTTAGAGCATTGAAGATGGGTTGAGGGTCTTCCAACATGACAATGACCTTAAGCACACAGCGAGGATAACCAAGGAGTGGCTCTGGAAGAAGCATATCAAGATTTCTCAGCAGCAGCCCAGAAACCTGACTGATCTATAGAAGATCTGTGTTAAGGAGTGGGCCAAAATCCTATCTGCAGTGTGTGCAAACGTGGTGAAAAACTATAGGAAACGTTTGACCTCTGTAATTACAAGAAAAGGCTAGTGTACCAAATATTAACATTGATTTTCTCAACTGTTTAAATACTTTTTTTTTTGCAGCTGTAGCATACAAATAAATAGTTTAAAAAAAATCATACATTGTGATTTCTGCTTTTTCCACTGAGTCACAGCAACTCCGCCTCCATAGGTTTTCAGTCCATTAGGACGGTTGTTCCAGTTGAAGCACAGCTTTTTAAAATCCTATTAAACTTGGAGTTAAGCATCAGCTTAATCCTTAGCTTAGGATATTCCACAATATTCAAAATCTTATGATAACTGAATCTAAATGTATGTTTTTATTTTGCAACAGACTCACACGAACAAGGAAGAATGTTTCTGACAAAATAAGAGCTGGACGTCTTTCCACTTAAAAGGCCTCATTATTGTCAGTTTGGTCTTAAGAACCTGGAAAAGAACTTGTGCCCTCTTGCCAGAAAGCAAAGACCATCAACTGTTTCAGGTTTTGAAAGACAAAAGATTTTTCACCAGAGAGAGTTGTTCACTACTCCGATTTTCACAGTGAATGTTATAATAATGTTGATTTATCTCTAGACAGAATGGAGCTTATGCAAGCATAGCAAAGTTTAGCCAATTAATTTAGCTGTCCTGAACTGGCATATTTTTTGTAAGCAAAATTATTCAGTGTGTAGCTTACATGTGTATTTCAGTTGTATAACAGCACAGAGCATACTCACTGTATAGGCTTCCCTCTAATCTCAGACATGATTGCGCTCTCTCCTCCAAGATACTCGAAGGACAGACTCAGGAAATTGTAAATAACAAAAGCTGAAAAACAGAAGACTTTTTTTAAGCCAACAAATGTGTTTCTGCTGCATCATTTCAACTATACACTTTGCAAGTCTTACTTTCTTGCAAAATTTAAAAAACTTCCTATGGAATGATTTAAACTTTCACAAAGCAAAACCTAAAATCAGCTACTTTATCAACCACTAGGTGTTTCAGTCTCGACACTAAAGCCTTTCTAATGGTTCTCTGTCTTGAAAATCCCTTCATAATCCTTTGTTGCTATTTAAGGGAGGATTAAATGAAGCAAATGCAGATGGCATCGTGTCTAGAGAAGGTTCATTATGCTTTAGCTGCAAGAGCTAATGGCTTTTTTCCGGTGCAGCTCTAACAGTAGCCTTCAACGTTTTTGTAATCTACACAATCTAACGTTACAGAGTGCTTTTGTTTAAATTTGCAGAGTAGTTATCTTTACAATTTAGCAACCATAACTATCTAATTCAACAGATATCTGTACTTTAGCTGTACAGCAGACTTCAGCACTTCAATAATGACACTGTATTAAAACTAAAAGCAAAGTATGCATTACATTCTCCTCCTAGAAATGCTACACCTCCAATAATGACTTCTATGAATATAAAAGAAAGTCAGAAGAGAGGAAAAACTAGTTTAGGCACTCCATTGTCTTTCAGTTTTTGGCATTTGCTACAACTATGAAGGCAGGGAAACACCTGTCTAAAGAAAAAAAAAGAAAGACCAAGTAGATCACAAACTGTTGTTCACACCTACCTTCATAACAATCTCGAACAGAATCGAAATACACATAGTACTGGTCGTTGCTGATGAAAAGGAGACTGAGCCAAGAGTCAAAGGAATAAACTGGCACTATAAACAAAATGCGGATGATGTAGCGCTGCTCATTGGGGACAGTGTAGGACTTGAGGTGTGTGTAGATCTGAAATTAAAAAACAAAACATAAATCTATTAGAAAGAATAATTAAATGGGTATAATAAGACGACCAAAGAACTAAGACAGAAATTTATGACTTGTGAACTTTGTTTCTGTTTATGGAAGAAGATGGAGCAATAAAATCAAACGTCATCATTTCTGAATCAAAAGAGGATTGTAATAAACACCTCATAGCAAGGGTCGGCTCCAATAACCAGGTAATCACAGCATCATTAGCTGATACTGTGATGAAATCACCATGATCATGAATATGTCCATTCGTGCTAGCTTTATGGCACCCAATTCTGATGTGGAACTTAGCATCCAACTTAATCTTATTTCAAATAACATAGTGATTGAATAAAAGTAAAGATATATGTATTTAAGATGCTATAAATTGCAATAGAATAGAGCTTGTTCAATTTATTAAGTTCTGAAGAAAACGCACTTTTGCCTCTGTGACATTACATTTTCATGCCAACTGAGCATTCATTTGTTCCAACCTCAGGGGCATCTTACCTGCTTACCAGCTAATATAAACAATTTTATATAATCTAATCTAGGTGGCTGAGAATATTGAATTGAAAAACAGACTATCATATATTTTATAATAGTGTAATACTGTCATAGATTAATAAGAACTGCAATTAAAGAAAAAATATATAAAACTCAAGAAACCCAATAACAGTGAAATTTAGGCCTTCATTAATCAGTTGTCAGATAATCTTGGTAAAATACTAATGATTTAGAGAATTAAACTGACATGTCATTGTAAAAAATAGTCTGTTTACAGGTGTGAAGTAAATTTTTGGTGGAATGATATTGCAATAAGGGTACGACTTGGCGAAGGGGTGAAACAATCTTTTGAACAAAGCAGCAGGCAAAATTTGAGAGAAGGGACCCTCTTGTATTGTATTTTTAAAACATAAAAAGAGAAAATATATATAACTTTATTGGAAATCAGACATTGATTTTAAATGTTGTGATTAAACTCTAAAACCTATATGCACAGTTTAGGTCAAACTCCAGTAATTCTTTCTAAGTAAATAATGTCAGTTTCAAACAGAGAAAATATTACATTGCACCTATAATAGGGCTGAAACAGTAAATTCGTTTAACCAGTTTTTGAAATAATAAACTAACTAATCAACTAATTGAGTAATCAATTAATCGTTAACCCGAGTATAGACTTTAAAACATGCCTTTAGCTGACAGAAAAACCCACTTAGAGCAGCAATTATATTAAAATTAAAAAAAAAAAGAGAAAAAAAATATGTAAACAGTTTGCAGATAAAAAAAAAAAAAACTTTTGTCTGCAATTATGCTCTATCCATAACTCCTCAAGTGGAAAAGTTTGAGTTTCACCTGGTTTAATATGGAAGCTTTGGTATCATATTATTAATAAAAAAATTAGCAAAATAAATCAGTAGTTGCAGCCCTGACCTATATAAACACATAGATAGATACACGCGTGCATATATACATATATATATACATACATACACACACACACACACACCCACACACATATATGAATTGGATTAGAGAAGGACAGACTTCTTCCTTTATATGCTGCATATATAAATGTTTAATTCCAGTGATCCTGATTCTTTTGTAAATGATTTATGGCTCTCAGTTTTGAGGTTTACGAGACCAGACTCCAAACTATTTCTATCAAGAAATATTCAGCTGCACCCTCATTGAAAATCTATGCACTTCTTTCTGTTTTGTTTCTATGAATGTCTCTTTTGTCAGACTGAGTCAAACAAATACCTGCAGCTACTGCCGAGTTATACGATGTGTTTCTAGGTCTTCTCTTCATTTGCTCAGAAGTCAAAGTGTCACTTCTTTTAAGGATAAGGTATACAAATAACATGATACATCTATGAACTGTTGTTCCTTAAAACAGATACTTTAAAAAAAAAATCTACATGAGGGCTACATCAGCATAAAATGCAAAATTCTGACTTTAAAAATCAATGTCTCCTTATTTTTTCCACTGATTAACTTGCCCCAGCTGTTTATCTGTCATTATACTATACAGCTTTAACAATATCTTGACTATTACCCAACCCGCATTTTAATAACCTCCTAACACTCCTGCTTTAAATTGGCAGGGCACACCTTGCTTAAGCAAGAATGCTTTCAGTGAATATCCACACAATGGTAAATACAGCATATCAATGTTGTTGTCATCTGCTGATTAAGATTTTAACCTTTCCTTTTAAAATGCATGACACACACATGGCCCCTATGGCCTCCATGAATGGAACCTGGTGCATCTGATGAGTTTGGGGAATAAACACAGCATATGTCAGGCAACTCAGAAATGAGTTTAACAGCAACCTCTGAGTTCTACAAAATACCTAATGTTGTTAACACACAGGAGAATAGTCCTTGAAATCAAAGCTTCCTCTTTTATTCATAGTTTAGCTGCTTCTTTCAGAAAATAGGGCTTTTTTAAATTTATCTATTTTTTTTTTTTTTTTATGATCTAATTAATTCTGGAAAACATAACATTTTTATTTATTGTTTTTAAGCTAAACTCATTCATTATGGAAAACAGAATGTTTTTTATCTTTTATAAAATCATGTTAATTAAGAAAAACAGAATGTTTCATTATTTATGAAAAAAAATTATTTTGTTAATTATGAAAAAGAGAATGATTTTATTTATCTTTTATTAAAATTATCTCGTTATTACACAAAAACACAGCAATTTTTTCTGTTTTTTTTTTTTTTTTTTGGTGAATGGAATACAATTCCCTAAATTTTCCTCATTACAAAAAGAAAAAAAATAAACCAAACTCACGTATCTGCTGTTAAAGCACAAATGACTGAAAAATTCAAGTACTTAAAAATAGGCACATTTCTTGAAATACATTAATATTATTGGATGTTTCTGTAAAATTAATAAATAAATAGATCTCAGCCCATAAAAGAACATATTAATTTGCTCATTTCAATTAGTTACAGATTTCAAATGCAAGATAAAGTCTGGCCAGCCTTTGGGGAAGCTGATAATAACCCTTGAAGAGTGATCTATATTTAGGAAACTATTATTTCTTTTGATAAGTTAAATGCAAACTCTTTTAGTAACCTTTTTTTTTCAAAGAATGAAAAAATAATTTTCTATGAACAGAAGCTGCTTGATTAAATTTCCATTAGAGGCTGCTCATTAAATCCCGATCACTGTGAGATTAGGAACATGATGAATCTTTTCATGTGGATCGACTCCATTTGGCTGACAATCCAGAACAGAACCGGAGTTCCTGCTGATTGCAGAACACTGACGACAGCGGAGAAATTGCCTCCAGTTTAGACGCATTTCTACAATTTCTCACTTGACAGCTTACTTCGGCATGAGCAAAAACAAATTTCAAACACAGATAGCCTGAACAAACCTTCCCATATTTTTTTCCTCTAAAGATAAGCAAACCCAGCGAAGGGGGTTGAAAGCGATCTACTACTTTTAATACCTAATGCTTTAAGTTCCAAAGGAACGAATAACACCAACTGGATAAATACCTACACATGAGCTTAAAAAGTATTGGCAACATCACAGCAAAAAAGATCTAAGGTTAATGTCTGGTTCGTATTCAGAAATAGCATTTAGCAGTTTATAGCCAATCTTTAAAGCCAAGTCAGATGAAACACTGCCAATATTATAACTCCGGTCCAACAGACCGTTTTATTCCCCAAATGTGACACAAAAGATGCCTGTTGCAAGCTAACTCTATTCCCCCAGTGGAAAACTTGCTATTTATTTGTTCAATTAAAATGTCTTGCTAGAAAGTGTTTGGCCGAACACGTACCATATTAAAAACATTGAAACCAATTTGCTGGATATTGAGCTACAAATCCCTAAACAGGGTGATGCTGTTGTTGTGTCTCTCCGATGTGCAGATTACTTGTTAATTATTTCCACAACACAGCATACAAATACAGGCTAACAAGCTGTAAAGAAATGCTGTGTGGAAGCTTTTTTTCGACATTTTATTAATTTTTGTTCAAATCAGAATATTACAGCTGAACAACAACAAAAAAATGGGAACTGGAAAAAAAAAAAAAAATCAACGGGCTCAAGCAGCTTTTATTAACATTATCTCAGTATCTACTGATTTCCCTGCAGATGAAACACAGCACTCCTTTACGTTTGCTGCAAATGATAAAACCATAATGATAAGTTATCATCTCTGCACAGTGGGAAACATTGGCTCACACGAGGAAATACTAATTTTACAACAATGATGAGATGGCAGCGGGTAAAGGTGGTCAGTGGTAAACCATTTATTTCTCTCGGTCATCAACTTCCTTCATGCAGAGAGAGCTCGCTGTGTTTTGGAGTCATTGTAAATCAGATAGGATTTATTCCCCCTTCATTGTTATCTGAGGTCACTTTTGTGAGTAAAATAAACAAGCCTTGAGGACATGTAAAAAAAAGACTAAATAAGTAAATTTGTGTCGATGAAATCAACATGTATAACGCACTGCAAAGGGTCACTTTAACTTGTAATACATTATATTGCTCAGATTTTGAATATTCTTAAGCCACATATTTTAATACGAGGATGGGCTTAAACGCTTTAGTAAAGGCTTAACACAATGTTTAGGGGTTTGTTTGTAGGCTGGCCAGCCTGACTGAATTACACAGAGCCTAATTCAGCCCTTAAATCCAACAAGATCTGGCGATGCATCTTATTACCCAATCCGTACCTGTAGCTTGATCCATACCATGTGCAACCAGATAAACATCCGGGTCGCCCTCGATTTTATTTTGTAAAAAAGACCTAAACTAAGTTTATCCCTCCTTAAAAATAGTAAGCCTACTACACTATAATGTGATAAAGGTTAATAATGTATTTCCTGAGAGAATAAAAGCATTAAAATCTTTTCTGTTTAATCACATGTCTGTGTCGGAAATGGGATCCTATGCTACTTCTGTGAGCTAATTTTTTCAGCTTTGGATTTAAACATAAATCTATTATTTTTTAGTTTTATTTTTTTCCTTTTGTGATAACCTTATGGTATATAGTCTTTAATCTAAAGAAAGAAACAACTGAAAAAAAAAAAAAAAGATTAAAATGGTTTAATCATATTTTGCCGGACTACTCTTAGCATGTCCGATGATGACGTCAAACAAGCTATTACACTGAGAAAATGTAAAAAGCATCAAATTGTATAAGTAAAGTCATAACATTTTTTTTAAAGATTTGTAGTAGCAGTCTTTAGTGATTTAAGGATAGAAATAAGTACTTTCACTACCATGATTACATTATTTATGGCGACCTGGATGAATATCTGCTTGCACATGTGCAAAAGACCCAATGGTACGGATTGTGCTTTCGGTACTGGTTGGGTAAGGACATGCATCACTCAGCTCCTTTTGGCTAGCATAACAGCAAGATGGAGGACGAATAAAAAAGGCATAACAGCAAGGTGGAGACGCAACCGATCAAAGTTTTAATGACCCCATTTCTGATGTTCCTAAATGAGATTGATCCAACTTTAAACCTCAACAACAGAAAGCTTTGGTGTCATTTCTTTTTAAAAAGAAAGTATTTGCTATTCCCAGCTTAACATGTTTCATGGATTACTAAATTACAAAAAACAGACCTTGCCGCTTAGAGTTTTTGCATCACATCAGTAGTAATCTTATTGGTTCTAACTTTTTGATTGTGACCCTGCTAGTTCCTGCCTTCGAAATAGAGCTATACCAGCCTTCAACCAGACTGATACGCAGTGTATACTTCATATCAGTCTTGCTGGCAAGGCTAGTTCATTTCTGGAAGTTTATGACCATTCTTTCAGATACCCATTTATGAGGCAAGACACTCAAAATCCTGTAGATCCCAAAGGTGCTCTATGGGTTAGTTTTCATGCCATTTTTCTTCCAAAACTTATAAATTCATCCATGTCTTTAGGGACATTGCTTTTCACACTAAGGCACAGTCATAATGAAATTAGAAGGGGTCAACCCCAAACCCTCCCAGAAAAGAAAATACATTTAAAAACTAAGGAAGATCTTCACAAAGTTGATGCCGTTTCTTTTTTCTATTTCGTTTTCAAAATGTCTTTACATGCAGAAGCATTTAAGATTAATAATCAAACTCCTGAGTACAAAAAATGAAACAATGCACTGTGGAAAGCTGCACTCCAATAGCAAATCAGAAATCCAGACTGATATATTGAATTGTTAGACAAAGAGACTTGATTTGTCACTGAAAAGAAAAATACTGCAGCAATGCTTTATGTTGCCCTTATTAAAGTACGGCTTTGACTTAGCAGCTCTGACATGGTAACCCATTTTATGATGCTCTATTTACACCATTATGGAGCTAATCTAAAGGCCAGAGGATGTTTAGAGGTTTGTAGCCACTGATTCTGCAGAAAGATGTCAACCTGTAATTTTTATGTTCCTTAGCACTCACTGTGGTGGCTTTGGGATTTGACATGGCCTGTCGCTTTGTGGCCGAGTTGCTGTCGTTTCTAATCACTTCTACTGTGTTCTATTACCAACGGTTCACTGTAGGGCATTAGGTAGTGAGGAAATTTTATGACTCTGGCAGATGGCATCCTATCACAGTACCACACTTGAATTCACCGAGCTCCTGAGGGCGGCCAGATCCTTAACAAATGTTTGCAGAAGCAGTCTGCATGTCTAGGTGATGGGCTTTATACACCTTTGACCATGAAAGTGATTTAGACATCTGAATCCAGGGATTTGAAGGGCTGACCAAATACTGTTCGAAATAAGTATGCATGTTGCATACACCTCTGAACTTGGCTTCCTCCAACACTGCAAAAACATGAATTTTAGATAAGAGTTGCCACTCTAAATCGCCCTATAGGTGCAAGTGAGTGTGTGCGAGCAGGTAGGCTGTGCTGTGTGTCTCTGTGATGGAAAAGCAACCCGTACATGGTGCACCTTTTTTTGTCAACTGACTGCTGGAGATTTGGTCCAAGCCTTCTTTAAGCAATGTGAGGTTGAGGCAAGTAAAAACAAACTATTTTTTACTTAAATTATGTCTTCAGATCACACTAATGCTAAATATGCCAAAATAACGTATGCATGAAATAATAATAAAAGAACAGACACAGCTTTTTACGTAAAAATATTTTTTGTGTCATTTTAATAAAGTAGCAGCTGAATATTTTCAGAGGTGTCAAACACACTGACATTCTTTACTTCAGTAAAATCACATATAATTGTGTAAAAAAGGAAGTACCAATTAAACTACTTTACTTTGGTAAAAGTAAAAATGTTGAGGTTCTACATTGTACTAAAGTATGAAAGTAAAATGAATTTTTTACCATAAATTACACAAAATAGCATTATTCATTTACAGATAACATAAAAGTACTGACTGTCTAGTTTTGTTTTTAGTTAAAATGTCAAGCAGCATATAGAGCTGAACTGAACAGAAGTCCTGCATGAGAAGCTTAATAGTTTTAGAGCTCTGGTTTTCACATTATTGACGTTGCAAATAGTGTTAAATTGAAATGGAACATAATAAGCACATTTAAATCTAATAAAGGGGAAAATGGATGTTGAATGACTGTCTCAGAATCTGAGCCATGACTGTTGCAATGATTTCAAGTCTCATGTCTTCATATCAGGGTTTTCTATGAACAAACCGAACTCCAAGTAAGATTATCTTCCTGATTTTCGCTGTTTTGTTGCAGCTGTTATGACATGTCATTAACCATATGTAGAGAAGTAAAGAGCCAGTTTGGAGAAAGTAAAGAGTAGAAAGTAATTATACTCCTGTTCTAATCTAGTAACTAAAAAGTCAGAAAAATACTCCAGTAAGGTACAGATTCTGATTTTTTTTTTATCCAAGTACTGTACTTAAGTATTTATACTTGTGACACTTGTGACTATGTGACACCTTTGATTATTTGGGAGATGCACCGTTGCCTTATTACCTTAACCACTGCGTCGAATTAAAGCGAAACAATGATGACAGTTAATGTGATTTTCTGCCATGATAAAAGAATATTATAAAGTCACTTAAGTATAATATATTCTAACCCCTGAAGAGGATAAATATTCTTCAAAGACAATTTGTTAAAAATGTCCTGTTAATACTGTAGGAGAATAATTATCTTTAGCCTTTCATAAGTTTTGAAAGGCCGTAAGTTTTAGCTTAAATTTAGAGATAACAATCCCCCATTGTTCAAAGCTTTAAAAGCTGCTCCTATATTCCTTTTTTCAAACTATATGAAGCATATCAGCATCTTTTAAAAGTTACTGTAATGCTCTTTAAGATGAAACATGTCTGAACATTTTTGTTCGACACCTACAACAACAATATCTTTTTTATCTTTGCAGGGTGTTTCCCTAATTAGACCTTTCATACACCATCATCCTTTTAGGTAAGAATAAGAAAGCCTATCTGGAAATAAAGCTGGAGTGAAATAGTGATCCCATTGTTTGTCAAACCAAACACCCAAGATCAATGAGCCAGTGCAGCACTGTGGACATACTTTGAATGCTTGCAAATGAAAGTTCATATCCAAAACCTTTAAAGTCGGGTTTTACAGTTAGATTTTTTTTTTTGTTTCAAGCAGTTTCCCCTACTCTGCTAAAACAAGCAAACAATAAAGGAGGCCCAAGCTGGTGCATGCTGGTCCTGATGCCATTTGTATTTATAGTAGGGATGCACCGATCCACTTTTTTCACCTCTGATAAGATACCAATATTTAAAGTTTAATGTCAGCCGATACCAAAAAACAGCACTGAACTATTGCCTAAAAAACTGTTTTATTGCGTGAAAAAAAAAAAATGGGATCATTCTTCCGTTCATATTATTTGACTTCCCTTTTCTTAAAAAAAGAAAATAGGAAACAACCCAAATATAAATGTTATGACTCATTGATTTAAAAACTGTACACAAAATCTTAAACCAAAAGTTCTCTGACTTGGTCAACATGTGAAAAAAGTGTCAGTGCAAATTGGAATCTAAAATTCAATGTCAAATTCAATACAATAAAATAAATTATGAAGGAGCTAAAATTGAGAAAATAAAACAGCTTCAACGTGTTGATTTCTTGACAGTCAAAATAAAACACCCATCAGCTCTTTACAATGTTTAGTGCAAATGGAAATTAAACATCCATTATAAAACCACCTGAATAAACCAAAAGATTATCCAGCTTGGTCAAGTTAGTGGTGTTATGGTTTGAAGATTTAACATAGCATAGAGTTAGAATGAATAGATTGGCCCCTATATCGAGTCAATTGTCACCGATACCGATCTAGTTGTGTCTTTCTTTATATCTGGACCGGTAAAAATATCAGATCGGTTCATCCATAATTTATATATATAACCCTTTTTAAAAGCTGATAAATAAATAAAAAAAACTGAGAAAAACGACAAATTTTGTACTTGTAATCCAATTTACCCTGCCCCATGTGATGAAATGTAAAAAAAAAAAAAAAAAAGGAAGTTAACTCAAAGAAACAAAGAACAAAACAAGAAGTCTGGAACTAGAAGCGTTTTTAAACTTGGGATTCACTGTAGAGACACAAAGGATTCAAGCCTTTATTTAAAGTATAAAAGTAGTAGCCTCTATATTTCTGTCCCAAGGCAAGGGAGGTGTAGCTGAGCAGATCTGATTACACGTCTAAATAACTGCGGCTGCACAGCTTTAAGGTGTGTTCCTCTCCAGTGTTATTCGATGATGGGATTTTTGCTCTGATGTGTGAGAAGATCATTGAGAGGAGCAGAAACAAACTCACCTGGTGGCATGTTATGAGCAAGGCGGACCAGACAAAGATCCCAGACACGGCCTGAGCAGTCACTGTGTTCAGGAACATCTCACCCTCGACCAGGGACCCATTACTGTTCCGAATGATGGTGATGTTCTCCGGAAGAATTGGTTCATCCAGGTGAACGATCGAGTTATTTTCGGACGCTGAATCCATGTCCAAGCCGTTCATCTGTAAAAAACGGAGGAAAACAGAGAGGTCATCTCATATAAAACGGGTCTAATATTCAAATAAAAGAGCTAAAACACACATTTATGCCAGAAGCGATAAATGCGACTATTAAAAATCAATGTAATCAAACAATTTAATTGAAGATCATAAAAAAAAAAACAAAAAAAAAACACCGAGCCGTTAATGTCACCCGCTGATCTCTTTGCTGTCAACAAACGGCTCACCTTTTTTTCCGGGGCAGATTGGAAAGCAGCTTTATCCGTTTAGACAGCAGTGATCGACCCAGATTGCTTTAAACGTTCAGCATCAAGAATAAAACTACTGTTTCTCTACAGCAAGAATAAAAAAAACAAGCCTTTTCAGCTTCATAAACAAGCAGCCTGTAGTAGGACACTTCCTTGTTTCTGACAGGTGTCTCAACGAGGTCGAAGTCCACACAGTAGGAGATGAAAGACGCACTTTAACGCCGCACAGACAAATAAAACAACAGCCGATATTTGTTAAATATACCTAAATACCGGTCTAAAAGTTTGCTAGAGGAATACTTATGATAAAACCTAAATGTGCGCGGCGGCTCCACTTAACTAAAGATATAAATAGGCTGGGCACAGGTGAAGAAATCACGTGGCTTCGACTCGGCTGGTGTCGTCATCACGTTGGGTCGCGAGCGTTTTTTTCCCCTCGTGATAAATGCGAAAACGTTTGGTTATCTTTACATTTATTATGTCACTAGAGTGAGTTAATCGTAATTATGGGTCAGCTTCCATCTCAGTTAAGGTTTTTGTGGTTTTATCAGATTTCCATTACAGCTCAGCTATTGGGGAGTAAAAATAATTAATCATTATTAATCACACATTGTAGAAAATTCCCTCAAACATTAGCAATTCTAGAGGTAGTTATAAAAGTGGTGTATACAAAATGAGGACTGAGACTGAAGTATTTCCCTTTCCACACTACGGCTGTAATTTATTTAAAAAAACAAAAGAAACATGCTTGACAGTATAATGTTTTATCCTCTACATAGGGACTTTAAGAACTCTAGATTAGTTACCTTGCAAGCAAGATGAATTGGAAATATATATATATTTTTTTGTAAATAAAAACAAAAACAAAATACATCTTTCCAGGAAAGAGCAGATTTGTTCGCTTCAATACAGAAATGTTTCAGACCAATGAAATGCAGTGACGTGTATGACTTAAACACATTAACCACTAAACCAAACAAACATAGCTGGGCTGGTTTTAAATAAATTAATTAAACTTTATTAAATAAATTGAATTAATCAATTTCACAGTTGAGTAATTAAATCTCTACATTTAACCATCCCCTCTGGGAGCAGTGGGCTGCCATTGTGCGGTGCCTGGAGAGCAGTGTGGGGTTAAGGGTCTTTGCTCAGAGAGCCAGAGTGGCAGTCTGTGGGAGTGGGCCTCAAACTCAGAACCTCAGGATTCCACGCTCTATGCCCTAAACACTAGGCCGCCACTCTCCCTTAGTTGATGTTTCTCTGTTACCTAATACAAACTGATGGCCGGATGGAGCGGGGACACCATATTAAAATATATATTGTATGAAATTGAGTTATATCAAACTGGTCCTATAGCCACTCTATTACAGATGGAGTCATGTAACCAGAGGTGTCAAGTGAGGAAGTACAAATACTTTGTTACTCTACCTAAGTACACTTTTTAGGTATCTATACTTTACTCCATTACTTATTTTTCTTCCTACTTCTGACTTCTACTCATTACGTTTTCACACAAGTATCTGTACTTTCTATTCCTTAAATTTTTAAAACACGTTACATTAAACGTTACTCGTTTAATGTTTATAAATATGTATTTCACGTCATGTGCGCCATCCAATGCAGATCATTGACGCCATACACATTTAGTGAAAACTAGTGGAATTTGATGAGTCATAGAAAGCAAACACTCATTGGTTAGCTAAAGGAAATCATCAGAACCAAGCAGGTGTTCTTTAAACTGCAAACGTGTCTATGCCATGCTACAATGTCTGATTCAGAAAAAGATGTTAAAATGTCTGAAAGGTTGGACACAGGCGGAGCGGATCGGGAGATGGAGACCAACAAGACCTCCCTCACCCTTGGCCCTATCTCTAAGAAATTTGTAAAATAGTCGAAAAATTGAGCCTTCAATTCATGTAGTGGCATCTGGCTGTTTTTTTAAAAGGTTACTTTATACTTTTATACTTTAAGTAGTTTTTGGAGCACATACTTTTCACTTTTAGCTACTTGAGTAAAGAGGTCAAGTTGATACTTCAACTTTTCCCAGAGTGTTTTTAAACTGCAGTATCTATGCTTCTACTTAAGTAACAAATGTGTGTACTTTTGACACCACTGCATGTAACTAAAGTAATTTCGTCCTGGGAATATTAAAGTATTTCTAATTTAGATTCCTGGTTGATGGGACAGATGTGAATGAAACAGTTCCCAGCTTAAAAGAGCTCCTGTGTGTCGGTGAATGTGTGCATTGATGCCTATATTTATCTGTTTACTACAGTGTCTTGATTTTATGCTAATGTGTATTTAAAGACATTTCAATTAGTGGGAAAAACTGTAGGGAGGAATATAAAAAAAAATTAATAATAATATAATCAACCAAAACTTTCTTAACCCCCATGCAGTACCTCCGTTGACACCCTGTTGAAGACCTCCGACCTAATATATGTCATTCATATTACATGTCTGTGATTACATCAATTTGAACAAATTAATTTGTATCTTATGATAAGCAATCTACTTGAGCAGCATATTTATACCTACATGTTTGATTCTTTGGAGGAAATCTATTTCTGACTGATAACTCTGACGTACTGATATTCTTTGATTCTAGATCTGCCTGTCCCCAGGTTGATCTAGAATCAAGAATGCAATCCCTTACAAAGAAGTTTGTTTTGAGTAGGAAATTGCACAGGTTTGCACCATGTGAAAAATAATACAATGTACAAATGTAAACTTTCTCTATTATGCTTTTTCTTTTATTTAATGCTCATGCCAAAAATTGTTTAGACACCAAAAACTGTTCATACACTTATACAATTTTATTGTCATGACATCTATCAAACTATTCTTTTAAATATTGATAAACTTTTGCAACTTTTAAATGCCATTTCTGATTTAACCTGAAAATAACCTCCAAGTATTGGAAGGTAGATTATCTCCATCCGATCACCCTAAATCTCTAGCTGTCCAAATTGAATCCGGTTAAAAGTGAAACCATGGTTACATCAATCCAAAATCATAATACTGCCTCAAATCATATCAGTTCAATTAAAATATAAAAAATCTAAAGCTGCCAGGAGTGCGAATATTTGGGATTAGCTGTAGTTGAAAAGCTGAACAGCTTTAATTTGAATGATATAAACTTGCAACATCAATCTAATTTGTTCAATTTACTTATATAAAAATATAATTTGACTCTACACAGTAAGCAGACATATTTACTGGCACCCCTTATGAGCCTTAGAATACATCCATATTATTTTAGTAGCAGCGTCTTATGCTAATAAAGGGCACATTTCTAGCTTTATTTAGAGTGCCTAAGAATTGCTTTAAAATAAATGAATTAAAATTTTTACATTAAACCAAATTTGACTTTTCTGTAAGTTAATCAAAGTTTTTAGGAGCATCTTAATATTCATAGGTTTTTCTTTTAACAGGGGACAAATATGTCATAAGACATTGGCCACCATACTGAACAACAACTGGTGCCATTCATACAACCAAAATGAGCAGGATGATTTGGGAGATTAAGAAAAAAAATCTTAATTGTGTTTGTCTGATGATAGAGCTACAAAAAAATAAAATAAATAAAAATAAATAAAAAAACAAACACAAAAAGCATTGTGTAGTCTGTGTACATAAAGAACCTGTCATTACAACCGGTTAAATAGAGCAACAAAAAGAGTAACTGAAATGAAAAGTCAGTTAAAGAATTTTATTAACAAACATTTCAAATAACACAAATTTTGTTGAATGAATTTTGAAATACAATAAAGTAATAGTTAATGTATTTTTACAAAACGTGACACTAGGAGCCATTGCCTTTATTTTACTAAGTCTTTTTAACTAATGTCATTTTTCCAGGGCCCTTACTAACTACCACACTTGACAACCTTTGACGATCTCTTTGATTTCTTTAATTGTGTCAATAGAAGAATCCTTCAGGGCCAGTCCTAGCAGGACAGGTCTGTTTCCAGCTTCTTGTGATACAAACATAGCCAGGTTTTTGGCGCAGACATGGGTCAAAGGCTGTTAAAGAAAGAGGAAAAACACAAATTAGGTTTTAAAAGATGACACTACACAGAATGTAGAAATAGGAATCAACTTATAAACACAAAAAAAAAACAGCATTTTTGAAAGATACTTTTCTTTTTTTCTACAAAGGAATCATCAAACGCTCTGATCTTTATAAAAATAACGTGGTAAATCTATTCGGCCTTCTGAAATATGGAATAATTAATAAATATTCATTATGTCAACAACAAAACTTGCATTCTAAAGCTGTTCTAATGTAGGCAGAGTTCTAACATCTCACTGTTCAGCCACAATTTAACTTCATTGTTTTTATTAAACCGTTCATGTTTCACTGAAATGCTGACAGGAAGACGCGTTTATTCAAAAAGCAACATTTCAGTAGCAAGGTGATTTAAAGTGCTGAAGAAAAGCACACTGTAGTGGCATGAAGAGAGAATACGGTAATTAATGAATGCTAATAATTAGAGAATAGAAATGAATATTTAAATGATTCAATTAGGAAAAATCTTAATAATTATGAGGGAATGTTAAATGAAAGCTGGACTTCAAACTTAACTAATAATGTTTACATAGCAAAGTCAAAGGTACGTTTTTAATTCCAATTTAAGCAATTTAGGGTTTCAGCTCTTTTACAGTTTTCTGGGAGTTTATTTCAGATTAATGGAGCAAAAGAACTGAAAGCTGTTTCTCCATGTTTGGTTCTGGGTATACAGAGTAGATCTGAGCTAGAAGACTTTGAAATGTAAAAGATTAAACGGGAGAATTATCTCCGTCTTCAAGAAAGTTTTCTTTTTAAATAAAATACAAACTTTGTTACAGTCTATCTTTCCAGTTGACTGCCCTTGCTCACAGTGTCCCTGTTAAAATGACAAGCTCAAGCAGAGATGAAATTAGTTTTCTTGAGTAAACTTTAAAACGCTGCTGAACTCTGTGCATCTAATTTCCCTACAACCTGCCAGAGTAGTTCAGAGCCGATCTCATCTGGCCTTTCACTGCGTGAAATGAGTAACCCCATGTGACAAGAAGTCTATAATCACACGGATACAATATTAATCCAACAAATTTCACTCAGCGTACCTCATCTTTGCCCAGCAGCACTTTGGTGGAGAACGTGGGGGTGCTGATATCATTAGATCGCGAGTCAGGTGTGACCGAAATCAATGTCCCAATTTTGCCATACTGGGTGAGGACCACAAATATGTAATTACTAAAATCTGTGCAGATGACTTCTGTTAGATTTCCGTTGACTTCTTTTTGTGCTTGTCTTGATTTGATGATGGACTCAGCCATGGTTTTAATCCTGAAAAGAGAAGCAAAAGACATGAAAGATGTATGATTAATATTATAT